CCAAGTCAGAAGGCTATAGAAATTGATGGACTATTTATAGAATTTATAGAAATAAAGCAAGCAACAGAAGAAGAATCAGTAAGGATTCTAAACATACTATGTCAGCAAGTCTGGAGAATGATGCGGGGCCAACAGATTGGAAGAAGTCAGTCTATAAACCAATTCCAAAGAAAGGAGACTATAAGAATGTGCAAATTATCACACAATATCCTTAATTTTACATGCTAGCAAAATAATGCTCAGGATCATCCAACACAGATTGAGAGCCCTAAGCAGGCTTTAGAAAAGGCTGAGGAACATGAGACATTATTGCTGATGCATGCTGGATAATTAAGAAACCAACGAATACTAGTCAATGTGTTTCACTGACTATTGAAAGCCTTCAGTTATGTCAACCACGTCAAGTTATGGAATGTCCTTAGAAAAACTGGAATCCCAGAATATCTGATTATCCACATGCAAAACGTATACACAAGACAGAAAGCAACAGTCCAGACAGAACATGGTGAAACAAACAGGCTCCAAGTCAGCAAAGGAGTGAGACGAAGCCGCACTCTCTCTCCACATTTACTCAACCTACATGCTGAATATGTATTGAAGGAGTCTGGATTGGAAAAAAATACGTGACTTTAAAATTGGAGGAAGAACATCAATAAGCTGTGCTATGCTTATGACACTACTCTGATGAAAATACAGATGATCTGCAAACTAGTAATGAAAGTCAAGGAGCATGGTGAAAAAATGGGACTACAGTTAAATATAAAGAAAACCAAACTAAAGACAAGAAGTACAGCAACCAGCCTTAGAACTGACAGTGAACATTTTAAGTGGTAGATGGTTTGTTCGTTTTAGAATCAACTATCAATAATAAAGGAACTAGAAATATGTTGCAGGCTAGTACTTAGTGATGTCACATGGGCACACCAAGAGGTGCCCGTTACTGCTTGTGCTGCTGCATACTGAACCAGCGGTAGCTTCTGGGTGGTCTTCAAGGGCAGCCCCATGTAGAGCACATTGCGATAATCCAAGTGCACCCTTCCTATTTTAACTCACACAAGTCATAAAACCAACAAGTATTTCCTTTTCATGTTGATCTGTGACCATGATACACTTTATCTTTTCATTATAATAGTATTTTTTGCAATAGATAAAAGTATGTAGATATAATGTATTCATCATTTTTTACATCATAGATGATTAAATAAAAGTATCTTGCTGGCATGGAATTATTTACACTGAGCCCAAATCTGTTCA